GAATTTTTTATTTGAAAATTTGCAACACAATCAAAATGTGAGAAGGGATGAAAGAATCAAACCAAAAATAAATTCAAATTTGCCAAATTTATATAAAAAAAATTCTAAATAAAAATTGTTGATGTAAATTTACAACTTAAAACAAAAATATAAAACTAAAAACAAAAATAGAATTATAATTTTAAACTTTGCCTATTAACACAAATTTTCTACTATATAAGTGTAGTTACCAACAGTTTTCACTATTATTTCTGTATATATTTGTAAGTTCATAAAAAAAGGTAAATCTTAAATATTATTTTTAGAATTTTAAGTTTTTTATTTCGTCTTTTTAAATATTTATTCAAAAAACAACAAGCTAATTCAATTCAATTTTATACACCATCATCTGCTATTTAAAAAAAGAGCAGACCTTAAATAATAAGCTAACAATAATGTTCTATTTTCATTTTACAAACTGGTATATCACATAAATTTAACTTAAAAGAGCACATTTTGTATATGTTTGTAGTTATGTATTATATGTGTTACCCTCTTAACCTGTTTATATTCATAAAATTTAACTATTTATGTGTATTCTATAATACTAGGATACAAAACCATAGGATATATAAGTAAGAAATTATAAAACATTCAATCCGAACTACAGAGGAAGAAATATTAATTCTGTATTTATGTTAAAAGCTAATTTAATAGATGAAGATGCAACAACAATTTCAACAATATAACAACAGCTTTTAGTTTTTCTAACTGACAAATACAATAGAAGTAATCAAATTTGCGAAAAAGGTCAACCTAGATTAACAAAAGAATTTTACTGAAACAGAAGATAGAGCGTTTTTAATAGTTTTTCGTGATCACTTCGTGAATCTCACAGATTCTGCTAATATATCAAATTTCACGCAAGTCATATATAAAATTTAAAAGTAATTTTGAAACATTTCATGCAATATATAACTAAGTATTAATAATAGATTCTTAAATAATTATTCACTACATTTTCGTCATACTAAACATGCCAATTTTAAATTAACACTCTAAAATCAAGCCCTTATATTAAATTTTTGATTGTAGTTAAATTTATGTCAAAAAAATAATTTATTGTATATTTTTAGAGATTATTTCATATGGTGTTTTCTCCTATTGCTATATACGTTTGGTTGATTTAAATACAAAATATACTAATATTTCTTTTTTTAACTTTTTATTGAAATATCACACAATTGCTTGTTATATATACAATAGTTGCAGTAACGACTAACCAAAATAATGATTACTTACTGTTGCCAGGTTTTCTACTATCGATTTTTATTTTTCAAATTACAAAAGTAAGAAGGGGAGGAAATATAAAGAAACAAAGGAAATTGAAGAGATTTTTTTTTTTGTTTTTAATTTTATTTCCCCTATAACTTTAATTTTCAGAAGTTTGTAAAAGTTGAATAAAAGATATTTTCAACTTCTGCAACTTTGCAATTTATGCAAAATAAAAAAAAAATAAAAATAAAAATAAAAAAAAAAATAAAAAATGAAAAGAAAAAATTCCAATTTATTCACCTGATGATGGTACAATGGCATATAGCAACTGTATATATACACGAGGTGTAATCGAAAAATTATAAAAATTGAGCATCTATATAAGCATCGAATAAAATTAGTAAATTGGCGCATAAAGATAACAATTTGACAGATGGCGTTTTTTTTCGATTTAGGACAATAGTGTTTTCGTTGTTTTATTTGCCAATAGCAATTTCGCTCATGACATTAAAAACGTCACCTTCATCTGAAAAAGAGAGCAATTCGACAGTTAATGTCGTATAAAGGGATAGCGGCAGCACACACTTTAATTGATCTCATTTTTTCATTTGTTAAATGTAACAAATGAATGATTGAATAATAAAACATATCTTGACGTACAGATACTTAAGTTCATTAAAATTAAAAATCTGCAGTAAAGCAGCCACGTACAAAAGAGACTATATGCAATGAATTTATTTCAAAACAATTTTTTTCCTAATTTTTTGTAAATTCTTATAGTAAATCTACATTCTTTTCGTACAACGTATACATATATGTAAACGTACTCGTATTTGCATATTGTATTACATATAAATGCGCAAAATTACTAAAACATTGCACTTTTGTATATGCCCAGAATTTCATGTCACCTTTTCATTCATAGTAGATAGCAATTTTTAGCATATACATTTTGTTATTTTCATTTTTTTTTTTTTGAATATCCTTTTTTTAAATAACAAGTTGCAAAAAAAGTAAAAAACATTAAATACCGTTGGCAATGTAAAAGTTAGGGAAAAAGAAATCGCGCTTAGAATTTCCTCTGTTATACATGCTTACTTGCTCATTCGCCGTTTTTTTTTTTACGAAAAAAAAATTCTTTATTATCTAATAAAAACTGCAACAGAATAAAGCTAGCATGTAATTGTATTTTTTCTCAAAATAATACATTTAACCTGTTAGACGAGTATAACTATGTTATAACAATAAAAATAAAGCAATAAAATAAAAACAAAAAGTCAGAGTAAAGTAAAAGTTTTGAAGGTAGCATATTTCCTTTAAATAAGTTAAACTACTTGTTTTTAAAAAGAAACCACTACTCAAATTCTAAATTAATTCTCCAAACACCAAAATTATTAAATATACTTATTTAAGATGCAGTAAATATGGGAAGGGAAATTATTTCCTCTAGAATAAAATAAGATATCGTAGACTCATTTGTACCTACACATATAAAATTTCTAGTTTTTACCATAAAGAGTGTAGAAGTTCGGTTAACCGAGAACAGATGAGCAGACGAATAGAATAGAACTTATAAGAATATTTTTTTTTTTTTTCAATTCTGTTAAAAATTTGTGCTAAAAAATGGAATGAAAAAGATTATATTTTAAGCTTTTAGTCCTAAATTACATTCGTTCCCAATTTTTATATATGAGAAAGTTAAGGAGTTTTAATCCTTACGAATGAAATGACAAGATATGCCGCTGGGGTTAATAATTTTTCATTATAGGGAATTATAAATAGTTTTTTCCTATGTATATGCAATATAAATAAAAAACTGTTTTTAATATACGAAAATAATAACTAGCTAGCAACGTATTTATATAAATATTTTATAGTTTATTTTATAGCTATATTAAGTGGATATAAAATTGAAATTTTAATAATAGATTCTTTATATTTAATTATACTCGTTAGGATAGAAAAAATTTTGTGGATTTTTTTAACGTTGGAAACATTTCGTTAGAATTGATGTAGGTTACATTTAAAGAAAATAAGAGGTATTTATTTTGACACAGTTGAAATATTTAGGAAGAGTGGCTCTATCAGCTTTATATTCAGGAAGGGATCGTGTATCTCACTTTTACCCATCGAGTGAAAAACAATTTTGTTTTCACATTGGGGAAATTTTTTTTTTCTTTTAATTTATACAAAATTTAGTCACTATACACTCTATTGTTTATATTTCACAGTTGATATTTTGAGAAAGAGTGCGAAAATTCAATTGAAAAATTGAGTAGTTGTTTAATTGGAATAATGACATATTAAATTTGTACATATAAAGCTTGTTTCAAAAACTGTACTAATAGTTGTGTTTTAACTATAAATTGCTTCGAATACAATCTAATATTATTGTAGATTCTATTGTTTAGCAAGTGAAAAACTAAACGAATTTGAAATATAAAGTTATAAAATATAGTGATTATTAAATGGAATAAAAATTTGTCATTAAATTTCAATATTGGAATAGCAAGCTGAAATACTCTTTCATAATTGCTGCATAAGTAAAACAACATAAATTCACATTTAGGTCTTGTACTCGTACTTTATAAATTTCAATTATTTAAATAATAGAAAAGTATTAAAAATAACCAGACATACGTTTCCAATGTTATAATCTGTATAATTTAGTCTTCTAAAAAATTTTATTTTATATACTTAAAAGCTTATAGTTTATATAGAATTAACATAAAGAAATTCATAAAGAATATTTTTTGTGTTAAAAACAATTTCCAGTCTAAAAAATTTAAATAAAGGAATAAAAATAATATTAAGATGAATCACACGAATTCTTATTTCTTTGTGCAATTGTATTTTAATTGAAATATAATTTTAGAATTAAAATTCTTTTAAATTATTGATAAAGAAGATTTATTAAGTTAGATAAATTATTTAAATTGCAATAATTCAAATATATGAAACCTATATTTTATTTTAGCCTCTTATAAGGTAAAAGATTTTAATAATAGTTATATATATAGTTATAAAATAATTTTTAAAAAATTGAATTTAAATGATCACACTCAAATGTTATTTACTGAATATTAAATTAAAAAAATCTAAATTCATAAACGACCAAATCAAAACAACTAAATTATTATTTTTACAAAAACTTTTAAAGCATGTATAACAGAATTCTTAGACTAGCAAGGAACATTCCTTGCTTACAAATTATCAAAACTTTGTAATTAAATTTGCGCCATATCAAATCATAATAATTACTCTTATACATTATCTACATTATATTATATGACGTAGTACATATTACCTATATATATAATATTATAGTTCAAATATCTTGTCATAAATATGCAAAAGGCGATCCCATAAAAATTCAAAGAAAAAAAAAGAGGATATAAAACTTAAAATTCCGCTTCTTCACCTTATTTAACCATTCATCATTTTAACCTCTTTTTTTTTACACACCATTACAGAATTTTAACTTTTTTCAGTTTTTTTTTTTTAATTTTTTGCATTTGTTCATTAGACTTTTGCGGTTTTAGATTTATAACAATTTGGTTTAACATTTTCCAAGGAAAATGTTGATGACGATATATTATTGGTATCTATGTACGTGTACATATACTTACTTGTATGTATTATATAAAATGATATGCCTAAATTATTATAAATGTGCATAAATGCAAATATATTAAAAGAAATAAATAAATGATGAAAAAAAAAAAGAATAAACGAAAAAAACTCACCTTCCTAATGATGTACTTGAGTGGAACTGTTGGAAAAATTTGCTTAATTGCAGATGCCAAGTCAGTAAGTATAACATCAGCATTCTGTAAATAAAAAAAATATAAAAATAAAAAAATTGAAGAGAAACATAGAATTATATAACACATATAGAAAATGTAAACAACAGCAAACTAAGCAACAACAATAACAGCAACCAAAAGGGAGATCATTTTGAGAAAAAATGGAAGTAAAATAGGAATACTTATTACACACAGGTTTAAGAAAAATATACAAACAGAGTATAAAAAAAAAGTGGAGAAAAAACTTAATATGAAAATATTTCTTTTTTTTTAAATATTTATGTCATTTATGATGACACAAGGATGACAAGGATAATCTTCCCAGTTTTTTGTTTTCTTTTATGTTTTTATATAACTATATGTATGTGTTACGTGTGTGTGTGTGTTATATTTAAAGGAAAATAATTCATAAAATAGACGATATTAAAATTAAAACAGGTCAAGTCATTAAATCCAAGTAACGTTTCTCAATCTTTTTTTTTTATTTGCATTTTACATTTTCTTATGTCGTCGACTAGCAAGCCGGAAATTTTATATTTGATGAAATTTTTTTGAAATCTAATAGAAGAATTTTTGGAAGAAAAAAAATGTGCTTATAACTTTTGATTACTTGTTTTTATAATAATTTAATTAATAGTATAACAGTTTGATGATAGATTTGGTCCTTCATTAATAATTCCCCCTCTCCCCCCCTAATTTGATTATTTTCTTAATTTTTCCAGTTTCTCATAAAAAATTCTATTGGTTTCTGTGGTTTTTGTGCAGTTTTTTGACATTTCACATATAACCCATTAAAGTTTGATGTTGAGAATCATTACACACTTTGAGCTGGCATATCTCGCAACTTAAAAATGAATTTATGAGGTTACATTTCATTTGGCAGCAGGGTAGTCCCAATTTAACTTTTAACAAGTGAAATTATACTTAAATGAAATGCAAAGTGATTTTTAAGACAAGCATTGAATTTCCTTCCTTAAAAATATTTTAAATAGATCCTCTTTTGATATGATCATTTAATTTGTACGAACTTCAAAAATGTTTAAAAAAAATAATTGTAGTGAACAAATTTCGTCTGAAACATTTCGAAAACGAGATCATTTCATTATTGTTATACATGTAGAACATTTCATATTTTAATGTAAAAATTTTAGTTGATGAAACACTGTATGAATACTTAAAAACTAATATTTAACAATTCTTTTTTTATTTGCAACAAAAAAAAAAATGAAATTTTATTAAAAAATCATAAATACTTACTGTGCTAAAATTACCAGCATCTCCAGTTGTTGCAAATGAATAAGTTCGATCATGTGTCACTATTGAAAAATGTGATGGTTTCTTACTCTCAACCGATTGTATATCCAAATAATGAAAATGACTTTCAATCTAAATTTCATAAAAAAAAAGTAAAAAAAAAAAATCATTAATTATTTTGTATATGATACGAGTACACCATAAAGAAGGTAATGACATGGGTCAAAAGGAATGTACGAAAATAAAATATATTCAATGTGTATATGTGTTCAAACGTATATGAAAGAGAAAAAAATAAAATAAATTTACCTTCGTTGGTACTTTCGCTATTAATAAATAAATCCTTACAGGTGTAAATGCCTGAAATACAAAAATAAAAAAAAAAACAAATTTATGTGTTAATAATTTTCTGAATTTTCTTTATAAAGAAGATTTATATTGTGTTTATTATAAGAATTTGATGTTATAAAAAAAATATTATGTAATTTATAAAATAGGATGACCCCAAAAAATTATCTTACATAAAAGTATAGTTTAATGATTGATTGGAAAAACTTTACTTCGAATTAATTGTATTCAAATGGGTACCTACATTTTATTCAATTATAGGAGCAGAGGTTTTTTCTTAATAAAACTTTCGATACATTCACAAAAAGAAAAATTCGTAATATATTTTCTTGATTTATACAAAATTTTCGGAAAGAATTCGACATGAGTTGTTTTTTCGTTCTTCACTTCAAATTTTAAATGTGCCTAAAGAAGTCTCACATTAAAAATAAGTATGAACTACATGAATTGATTCACAGAGTGTAAAATGAAAGAACTTCTAGGTAAGATTTTGACATTATTTTTATAGTGCCTTTATTTATTATTTCATAAGCAATAATCTTTTTTTGTAAAAATTTAAAATCAAATAACAAAAATTTTAATAATATTATCAACTTAAATTTTCATATAATTTAAAAATCACTTATTTTAATAATTTAAAAAGAACAGGCTTTATACCACAGAATTTAACTTTCACTTTAAACAATTTTAAACAATGTTAACTATGTAATCGTTACTTAAAATTACATATATATTTCTGTTATAAAACTTAAAATATTCTAGTATTTTATTATATTAAAAAACAAAAAAAAATTAATATTGAAGAGCAGTTTAAGAGTGGTTACATTGTGGTTTATAATCAGTTTTTTAAAACACGAAAAGCCACGGTGTATGTAATAATAAATTGGAAAAGAGAGGAAAATTCAAATGACTATGATTCATATTAATTAAGTAATACAAAAATTCAAAAATGTTTAATTTAATTGAATAAAAAGCTGATAAATTCTAACCTATCAAGTAGCTAAAAATTTAAAATAAAATTGTGTATCAGAGATATTTTTACAATGTCTTTCATTTCAGAAAAGCGGTAGGATAAGTTGACAATAATTGTCAATAGTTACAAACAATAATTGACAATAATTGACAAAATAAGTTTAAATTGACAAAATACAGAGTTAAGATGCTTTTACAATGGATTAGGGTTTTGCTTTGGGAAAACCTTTTATATTTTTCAAAGTGTTATTTTTTTCATGCGCAACTGTATTAAAAAGAAAACATATCTACACATATAGGATTTTCTTTTTTAGTACAAGTTTGCCTACAATGTCAACAATCTATGTTTTTATTTTCGTCATCTACAATATATGCTAGGAATTCTTAAGCTCACGTAAGTATTAAAATCTTATTGTTAAGTTAATTATTTTAATTTAATAAAATTTATAACAAAATAAGTGTATAACTTTTACTTATGTAAAGAAATTCAAAACGAATAAAGAAAATTTTGCGTTAAATTAAAGCATCTAAAATTTTAACTACACGTGACATAAGTGTACATATATAGAAAAATATAAATAAATGTATGTACATTTGAATAGAACCCATAATTCTCAACATATTATTCATATATATATAAGCACGGACACGTATATATATACATGCTTTAATAAACTAAATAACTTAAATAAAGTAGCAATTAAAATAAACTCATTCTTGTCTCGGATTTCAGTTTTACTTATATATTTACTAGATAGAAAATTTTCTTTTTATGTTATCATACAATTAAAATTACACATATGTAGTGAGATTGAATGTATGCATACCCACAATAACAGTGCAAATATATTATAAAAGATATGGTTGAATGTCAATAAATACCGTTATATAATATCTACTTATACGTATTTTTAAAGCAAAAAAGCAATTAAAATCGAAATTGAAATTATATAAGTAATATCTACGTATTCAACAACGTATAGTATATTCAATATAACAGAAGTGGCATTTAATTAAAATTAATTTCAAATGAAATAAATTAATTGTTCGTAATGCATACATCAACCAAATAACATAACCTTATACACTATCATATTGTACATAATGTAGTTTATGCCCCTAAATTTATGCAATCAACGAAAAATTTATTACCACTTTTTCAATCAAGTCCAAATTACATTCCCTCTAAATATTAATTGCTTATAAGAAATTAACTTTAATTTTCCTTTTAATTTGGCAAACCTTTTAGTTGCTGAAAATTGACAAAATTAACATAATTTTGAAAATGTTTTCAATTAGTCAACATTTAATACGTTTCTTAGTTTACCGATCATAAAAAATATAATACTTCTTATATTGCACTACAAAGCCTGCGTTAGTAATTTTGTAATCCGATTCTTATTAGCTGTTAGTAAGCATATATGCAGAGTTACATATTTCAATAAAGAATGAAGTTTAGATGTTTAAAAACAAAACTCTCTAACTTTTACCATTTTTGCTTAATTATTGTCTTATTGGTCAATTAAAATAAAAAAAAACCAAAATGAAAAGGAAAACATTAGATTCAGACAAAATGGAAACACATTACATAGAAAATATTAACATAAAATCAAAATCTGTAAAATTTGTGTTTAATTGTTCCTAATATGGAATACAATTGAATAAAAATCGAATTTATTTTAACTTAAAAGATTTTTATTTACATTATGAATATTTTTAATATTAAATGAGAAAAGAAAATTGATGAATATGGCTTAAACAACAAAATTTTTTTTAATAAAGCTTGAGGAGTGTTAACCGAACTTAAAATAGTTAGAAATAATAGTAAGGAACAGTTATATAAGCCTTCTATATGTAAGCTTCACAATAATATTTAAGCTACATACTTGAGTGTACTGAATCTCACGAACTCTCAGTATAACATTGAAAACTGTATTCAGCTTACAATTTTCACTAAAATTTGAAAGATCTCCATCATATTACAAACGAAGCTTACGAGATTTCGGGTGTTCGTAATATTATTCAACTGTATTTATTTTAACTACTCATATACAAAATTTTTGAATATTACTTACTTCTAAAGTTAGATAGTAGATTGCTTTATTAAACAAATATTTATTTAATAAAAATCCTCATTAATTTTTATTGTGTTTTCAGAATTTCAGTATACTCGTATAATTTCTAAAATACTGGCGTATTATAATTGTACTTAAAACGTACATATGTGTGTATACACATATTTATTTCAATGAATTACATTATTTACATTTAGACATATATTTATATGTTATACACAAAATAAGTATTTGCAATTTTATTATACATATATATGTATAGTATTATCATTGAGACCCCCCTCATACAGTTAATTATCATATTAATAAATTTTTGCTGACAAAAAAAAAAAAATAACATTAAAAAAATTGTGGTGTTAAATGGTAATGACAGGAACTTCGGCCACAAAAATATTTATTTATATTAATTATTAATACTTACTTTATATGTACATTCCGAAAAAAAAAAATAAAAAAATTAAATAAAAGAAAATTACAAATTATTTTGAGAGGGTCCGAGTTTTTATAAATGGTAATTTAATATAAGTAATAAAGATTATTCATCACATTATATATACAAATACAACCGAAATGAAAGAAAATAAAAAAAATTAAAACTCAGCACTTAATACCCTCACTATAATAATAATATAATATCATACCAAAACCATGCCACACCATACAAAAAACTTGTTATATCTACCATATCTAATAGTCATTCTTTAAAAAAAAAAATTATATTATTCTCTTTTTCCTTCTATGAATTTTTATCGCAGTTTTGGTGTCATTTTATCTTTTAAAGGATTTGTTTTACAAATGAAATAATACGAGTACATTGTAAATACTATACAAGTATATGAGTTATACTACATACAATACTACTCGGCTAGTTAATAAAAGAAAATTCAGCAAGTTATTTAACAGAAAAATATGAAAGGATTGTTTTATTTTCTCTCATAAGTGCAATAATATTTTTATATTACTTATATTTTCTATCTCATTCTGTCTTTGCCTCTAAATACCTATTTAGTTATTATTTAGTGTCTGCTTATGTTTGAAAGCCTATAAAGTGTATATTATGTACATTCGTATGTACTCGTATAAATTTCAATATTTATAACACTTAAGAAACTAAACATTTTTATTTAAATAATTTTTTTTTTTTACTTTTATTTAAACATTAAGTTAGTTAGGGTTGATTGAATTCACTTATATGAAAATATATGTATATGTATAATAATAAAAAGCTATTTAAAAAGTTATTGAATTTCATGTAAAAATCACCCATCAAGAGAATTTTGTATATTGGATTTAAAAAAATCTAATGAACTGTAAGATATTTATTTTTATACACACGCACGTCACTTATATATTTACATGTCTTTACATACTTATAATGCAAATTCTTCCCTAATAAGTATATTAAATTTATTTTTATTATACTTTTATCCTTTTTATGCCCTATTTTTAGAATATGAAATAAGAGTACATTTCTTATTTGAATATTGAATCTAAAAATAGTAATTGGTGTCGTCAAAGGAAAATAAAATTAAAAGGGTATACCAACTAGGTTGAATAATTAGGTTGAATTTCGAATTCTTATTGAAAAAAATTAATAAAATTTTCGAAATGATTATTGTTTTTATTCGAAAGTGAAAAATGAGAAGGTAAAAAAAAAGGTAAAAAAATAAAAACAAAAAATAATGAAATAAAATTAAAAAGAAATAAGACCTTCAAATAATTAGGATTATAAGCACAAAACTTATGAGTATCGAATTTCATTTTCTTTAATTTTTTTGATTTAAGAACAAGCAAAATTGTGCGTTTGTCAAATCATTTAACGTTAAAACAAGATTTGACACTTAAAATTGAAATTTTTGTGTATACACTTAAGATAATTTTATCTCAAATATGAAAGTACAGAAATAAATTTGGAATTAAAAGGATGCAAAGAGAATAAGACTTTAAGAAACAATTAAAATTATT